TATATGAAGAAACAATTTTACCATCTTTAAAATAAAAAGTAAGAAATAAGATTAATGTAAAAAATTAATTAAAAGATAAGTACGAATAAAAAAAGAAGAAAATTAATCTCTATTTTTAGAATAATGAATGTAAAAAATGTCCAAATGGATTAATATTAAATACAACAAGTGATCGAATGGGTATCAAAAGTTGTATACCGTGCGGTGCTAATCTTATCTCTCATGATAGTATACGATGTATATCAGATGGCATATTGATATTAGAAAATTCTACTATTAACAAAACATATCACTTTAATTTTACTTATTTTTTTAATCGGTATAACAATTTTATTCGTTGAATCAATTTCATAATTAATCTTATATATTTGAACCAATTTTATCATTTCATAATTAATTTCCTTCCTTAATTTAATTGTGCAGTTTTTGCTATCAACTAAATAAATTTTTAGAATGATTTTTTTTTTAAATGAAAAATTTTCCTTTTATTTATAAAATTACTTAAAACTCATATGCTATCTTTATCAAAATACAATATTATAAATTAAATTTTAATTCGTTAATAGTTTAGTTATTTAATTTTATTACTATTTTTTTCAGAACATTTACAGCTGAAGGTGTTAAAGTATTCGCACGTGAAGGTACATCGTATTTTCATTTGTATAATATTTCACTTTTAACTGAAAATGGCGCAAGCTGTAAAGAAACTTATGCATCATCAGAATATGGAAGTGTTTCGTCATCCTATAGTATGGATGCAAATCAAGTAAAATCATTTATTTTAAATTTTAAACTTCTTTATTCAATAGAAATTTTAATTTTAAAAGTTAAAAAATCATGTTTATCAGTCGCATAAATTGTTCTAATTAATTTTTAAATTTTTTGGCAAAATTATTAAGCTGAATTTATTTTTAAAAAAATAATTTGACAAAAAAAAAAAAATCATTTGTTATAGGATCAAGATAATACTGAAATAGTAAATGCACACATTTGTCGTTCAACGGCATTTCCGATGCATCCTACTGCTAATGTCACACAACGACTTTTTTACATTTCACCCGTTGTGTATATTATTTTTATTAATTCAATTAATAACATTAAAATTTAAATTTTCCAAAATTAACAAACCGTTAATTTTTTCATCTTTTTTTTAAAAATTCAAATTCAACTTTCTTCTTTTTTTTAAAAAAAAATTTATTAATACATTGTAAGCATTGTGTAATAACGAAGATTTTTAGAATTGGTGATAAAATTTTGGCTATAACACCTGAAAGAGAATTGAATGAATATGTCAAATTGACAAATCGAGAATTTGACACGATCGGTTTGTCTAAATAATGTTGTTTTTTTTTTTTCGATGTAGTTTACAAAAAAATTAAATCCAGTATCAGAGTAATTAAAAATTCAAGAATTGAATAATTTTTTTTTTTTTTTTTTATAGAAAATAACAATACGAGGAATGAATCACCAGATATACATTTTTTCTTTGATTCATCTGGGCCATCAACACAACTTTGCATACATGGAGTGTATACTGTTGTAACATTGAAGTGTGATCCACGACAAATTACCGAACCATTAGTATGAATATTTTTTTAATTTTTAATTTAATTTGAAATATTTCATTGATATTTTGCTGCTTATTGTAGGAAAAGCTAAATTTAACCTAATAAAACATTGAGCAAACTATTTTAATTTAATTAGATTTTTGTTACTTAATCTAATTTTATTTATGGTATTGATTAAAATTGGAGTAATTAATTTAAAAAGAATTTTTTTTTTTGTCAGGTAAAACTTCCAAGTAATTGTCCGGATGGTACTTGTGATGGTTGCTTATATCATATTATCATTTATTCATTATATGCATGTCCTATTTGTAGCGATCAAGATTACAGTATAATTAAAGGTGAATGCATCAATGGATTGCAATCAGTTCATAGTATACCAGCAAGGTAAATTTACTATGTAAACTTTTTTTTTCATATTAAAATTTTCTTTATATTAAATTGAAAAATTTTTAAATATATGTTAATTAATTTAAGTTATTGTATTTCAACGGATGTATTACGAAAGGAACGAATCGAACAATGTACAACGTTAACATTACGGTTACAACTTCTCATTTCAAGCATTATTTTAACCGTTATTACATTATGTGTTATCATTGTTATGGCGTATCGCAAGAATAGAAGGTTGATTTTATATTTGCTCCAACAATTGAAATTATCAAAAAGATTTTTTTATTCATGGTATGCTTTATGTTGTAATTAAAACTTTGAAATTTAAAATTGAAAAGAAATTCTTTGTTGAAATAAAATTTTATTTATATAATT